CCAGAAACCCTACCACCCCCTTATTTCCATTCTCTAATAACAGACTCCCCCCTTGAGAACGAACCCTAGCCGTCTTTCCTCCTCCTTCACTCTTTCATCTGATTCACACACACTTCTCTCGCTGATCTCTCTCTCATTATACACCCACACACATACTCATGGATATACGGAGGGAGAGCATATGAAAATAGAGCTTGGAGTTTCTAATTTCATAAATCAGATTTGAGAAATAATTCGAAAAACAGAAAGAGAAGTAGAGATTTCCATGAAGATTTGAATTCTAGTGGATTGTTGGAAACTTTAAAGCTTAAAAAACTTTTCTTGGGTTCCTATAAGTGTTGTTCGAAGTCTGAATCGCTGATTTTTGCTGACGCTGGACTCCAATTTGAAGCATCTCGCCTTTATTTGGCTTTCTGTCCAAGTTATTTTTTTTGTTCTTGTTTCAAACAGGTACGCATATATTTCTAAGCTTGTAGTATTTGGGTAAATGGAATGAAAGCTAATGCAAGTTCCCGTTGGTTTGAACCCGTATGTTAGTTTGCTTGGTTGTGATAATGACAGATCTATGAATGCTAGATTAGTTGAATTTAATAAATTTAAAGTTAATTTTGATCCTAAAAGGCATAATCTGAACACGATGTATAAAGATATAGGTGATATCTGCTTTATGAAATATGTTTAGTTGTGTTTTGAAGAAAGGTTAACACATTGTTTTATGCACAGTTGAGTTTTGTTGTGTATTGTCCCTACTGGATTTTACTCTTAAGATCATTGTATGAGTGTTGAGTTTAAACTACAAATGGAATGTTGAAAAATCCTTGTCATGATGGAGGTTAGGCCTATTCGTTTAGGCCAGTCTAAATAAATGACCGAACGGAATTTATTTGGATGCTGCTTGGGCCTGAATAAAGGCCCAGATGTCTTTCCTCATATGACAATTAGGACTGGACCCATGCACAGTCTCAAACCTTAGGAAATAATCATTTATAAACATTGTTCGAAATGAGATTATTTATTTAATCAGAGTCGCTACTTAGAATAATTATTATGGTGTCTCAAGTCACCGGTTTATTTTAAAATCCCAAATCAAGGAAAATGATTCTGTTTTAAAGTCCGCGAATACCAGAAGACCTGGTGAGGAATTCTGCTAACCCGAGAGAAGGTATGAGGCACTCCCGAGTTCCGTGGTTTTAGCACGATCGTTCAACTATTAATAGTTGGCCTAATTATCTGATTTATTACGTGTTTAAAACCTATTGTCATTTTTAACTTTCTAACCGCTTTTAATAGAATTTTAATTGCTTTTAGGATTTATAGAATTTATTTAAATAAGTCGCGATGTTGCGTACTTATTATTTTTTAACACATTACGAATCGCGTCACGTGAAACGCACCCGTAATTTACTGCATGTTTTTTATTATTAATTGACTTGAAATTGTAAAGTCAAGTCGCATGAAATGTACACACGAATTGGGAATTACGTATTGTGACTATGTCATGTGAACCGTACCTATAAGTACAATGATTTATTAATCGCGTCTAAAACAAAATACGAATGCTTATAAGTGATTATTTCCTAAGGTTTGAGACTGTGTATGGGTCCAGTCCTAATTGTCATACGAGGAAAGACATCTGGGCCTTTATTCAGGCCCAAGCAACATCCAAATAAATTATGTTCGGTCATTTATTTAGAGTGGCCTAAACGAATTGGCCTGGCCTCCATCATGACAAGGATTTTTCAACATTCCATTTGTAGTTTAAACTCAACACTCATACAATGATCTTGAGAGTAAAATCTAGTAGGGACCATATACAACAAAATTCAACTGTGCATAAAACAATGTGTTAACCTTTCTTCAAAACACAACTACACATGATTCATAACGCAGATATCACCTATATCTTTATACATCGTGTCTAGATTATGCTTTTTAGGATTAGAATTAACTTTAAATTGATTAAAATCAACTAATCTAGCATTTATAGATCTGTCATTATCACAACCAAACAAACTAACATATGGGTTCAAACCAACAGGAATTTGCATTAGCTTTCATTCCATTTACCCAAATACTACAAGCTTAGGAATATATGTGTACCTATTTGAAGCAAAAACTAAAAAACAACTTGGACAGAAAGCCAAATAAAGGCGAGATGCTTCAAATTGGAGTCCAGCTTCAGCAAAAATCAGCGATTCGGACTTCGAACAACACTTATAGGAACCCAGAAAAAGTTTTTTAAGTCATAAAGTTTCCAGTAATCCACTAGAATTCAAATCTTCATGGAAATCTCTACTTCTCTTTCTGTTTTTCGAAGCTTTTGTTTCTTAAATCTGATTTTTGAAATTAGAAAATCCAAACTCTGTTTTCAGATGCTCTCCCTCCGTGTATCCATGAGTGTGTGCGTGGGTGTATAATGATAGAGAGATCAACGAGAGGAGTGTGTGTGTGATCAGATGAGAGAGTGAAGAAGGAGGAGATGCGGCTAGGGTTCTTTCTCAAGGGGAGGGTCTGTTATCAGAGAATGGAAATATGGGGGTGGTGCTAGGGTTTCTAAAGGAGGGAAGTCCGTCTTCTTCTCTCTTAGGGATTAGGGGAGGGGGTGTTTTAATGGGGGAAAGAGCAATTGGACTAGGTTTAGGGGATTGGGCTGTGGCGGATTTCAAAATGGGGGAAAGAATAACTTTTCTTTGCTTTTGAGTTCATATATGACCACTTAAATTAATTCAAATCTAATCTTGCCAAATTACCTTAATTAAATATTCTACCTACTAATTAACTAAATATTTGACACATTAAAGAAACTAAATGATGTAACGTGTATATTATTTTTTGTGACTTTTCATTTGATAATGCACTTAATTAACGTAATTAAAACCTAAATGCAATTAATATCTAAAATGCTATGAGATGAAGAATCAAACATTTTTTTATGATTTTCTACGAATTTAAAACACCTCTAAACATGTATGAACAATACAAACAAAATGCAAAATAAATTGGATAAAAATGAAGAAACAATTCCTACAATTCTATAAAGTAATTAAAGAAAACTCTTTTGGAATTTTTAAGGAGTGATTTGCATTAGGGGAAAAATTAGGTGCTCACAAATATAATAGTAAAAAATATATATTGAAACACACTACATACAACTGAAAAATTATTCTAATTAATTGGGTTGATAATGAGGCATGTTATAATTGATTTTGTTGAATTATATTAGGAGTGTATCACGCTAATCGATATTATTACCGTTATTAGACAGCTGGATATACCTATTTTAAGGTGATTGTCGTTACTGTATTCATGACTACATTGCGCAAATACATGTGGATACATGCGCGTATAACAGGACTGCCCTGAATTTTGGGCACCTTTTGCTGCTGTATTTATGAATACAACAATGCGAATACAACAAATATATTACCTTAACAACTGAATAGTAGCTATAAGAAATAATTATGTATATGATAGTTATAGAAAATTAATAGTAACTAAACAATAGTTGCATCTGAAATTTTTTCTAATAGAAAACTTTGTATCGGTTCACGAAGCACGCTCTCATGTTCAAGCTAGCTAGCTTGGGCTCTTGGCAAAGGAATTTAGGCTGAGGTAATTAAATTAAAATTTGATCATGGTGTTGAAAAGCAAGTGAATCCAAAAATTGGTACTTCAACTTACAACCCAGTCCAAGAATTCAGAGAATAAGGTACAATATCCTGATTCAGATGAAGAAGAATGAGATTAACATTGTGATTCTTAAAAAATAATTACTCCCATATTCTCATGCTTTAATCATGAGCTTAGGCTTAGAAGCTGCCTATACAGTTCACAAACCCAAGATTACAGAGCCCTTTTCTTTGGTTTCGCACCTGGCAGTGTCCGATACCCTGTGGGGCTGCTTTTAATTTGAATTCCTGTCGCGTAAAACCCATTAAAGAGTGAAATACTTCCTACCGATTTTTTTTTTCATTTTTAGAGCTCAAATTCGAAACAATTAAGGATCGAGAGATTCAATTCATTCCACCACAATCTTTGTTGATCCGTAATTCCAGGGGCGGCTCAACAGATCTCGGGGCCTAAGGCAAAATCATATTCGGAGGTCCTTAATTCCAGTATAATCTCATTAGTGGGATCTGGGGAGGATAGTTTGTACGCAGACCTTACCCCTACCCTGGAGTAGAGAGGCTGTTTCCGATAGACCCTCGGCTCCCTCCCTCCAAGAACTCCCCACCTTGCTCTTGGGGTGACTCGAACTCACAATCTCTTGGTTGGAAGTGAAGGGTGCTCACCACTAGAACAACTCACTCTTGTCAAATATACTAATTAATGAGGGAAGAAAATTATCATAATTTATAAATTTATTGTATAAAATAACCTCAATCAAGTAACAAAAAATATACCGTAACACATTTTTTATTCTAATTATTTATATAAATTATATAATATATAATAGTAACAATAATAAAAAAAATTTAAAATAAATTTGGGGACATTCAAAATTTGGGGCATAAGGCAATGACTCACTAGCCAAAGCCTTAGAGCAGCCTCTGCGTAATCCTCCCCTGTTGTAGTTTTGAGTGAAACTAAATTCAAAGCGATGTAAAAACAAGATAGTTTATTGTTTCAATAGGGGCTAACTATTCATCCAAAATTTACTCAAATTCTTGGTGAAGTTCCCCCTTTAAAAATTCAATCCCCAAATGTAAATTAAACAATTATAAAAACGTTTCTAGAGTAGTATTATTGCATACATCGTTTTAAAATTAATAGAGACTCTTGGCATTTTCCTAAGGAGACGAGCCAGTAAGAAAACCTGCTGCAGCAACAATAATGCTACCAAGAAACTGAAGATCATCATTCTCCTTAGTAATAGTAGATACAATCCCAGGTGTCACTTCAAATGCAGTCTCACAATTAAAAGCATCTTGCCCAACAAGATTCGCCGCAGTATTTAAATTCTGGTATTGTCCCATGTTCAAATACTGTTCAGCATTTCCCAAAGCTCTAATAGCTGCATTGTAATAAGTTGTGCACAAGTTATATATCTCTTCCAGTTTTGGATCATTTGTTTGATTGAACAGCATATCGATCTTCGCCGCCGTGGCGGAGGCGTTTGCTGCTGCTAAATTAATGGCTGTTTCTGTTAAGTCATGAAAATTTTGATGTGAATTCCCTTCCAATACTTTCAAGCAAAAGCCTGGATTTTTGGACTTAGCACATACGTCGGATAAAGGGTTGCTTGTACTTTGACTCGTGAAAAAAGCAGCTATGAGACATAAAATCAGTGTTGAATGTAAAAAAGAAGAAGATGGTGTCATTTTTCTTTAATTATTTTTCTCTTCCCCTTTGATTGTTTGTTTTTGAAGTTATATAGTAATTGAATGGATGTATAGTATAATTTTCAAAAAGGGATAGATATTCAATGTAAATCCTAAAATGGATCGGATTGCATGTATTAACGTGGGAATTATTTCTTTTCCATTATTAACGTGCGAGATCTGTATATATATGAATTTTTATCAATGCATTACTGATTAACTTGTTTATATATATGGTATCGATATATAGATTTTTCCTTGTAAAGAAGTCTATATTTAGAATACAATTTCTTATCGAATCTCCGGAAATTGAATTATTCCCCTTTATGTCGTAACTTTTGTCCATTTTGACCAGTTCCTTTAACCCCAATTTTGGATCGTTGTTTCCGGTGGTTCAATATTATATTGTTTTCATTGATATCATATTTGTTTCTATTGTTTTTAAAATTATATTGTATGGTGTTGTAAATCCGTTGTAATTCTGTTGTCATAAAACAATGGAAAACTCATTTTTTGTAAACCACGGATTTGGTGGCTTTTGCATGGTTACTTGTTTAATTATACCCATTATCAATAAACCAAACAATAAAAATGTTATTAAACCACAACAACCGATACAATTTTTCCAAACAATGGATTTCATTAATACAGTACATACAATACGATATTGTACATTACGAAACTAGGAGTGTACATAGGTCGGGTTAGTTCGCATTTTTTAATTATCAAACCAAACAAATGGTGTCGATTTTTTAAATTTATAACTAAACCAAACCAACAAAGTCGGATTTTTCAATCTCGATTTTTTTCGGATTTTTTTGGATTTTCTAATTTTTTTCCGGTAAAGTCTTCATAGCATACAATATGTAACTTGTGCTCCAAATATTTCTTAAGTCCTAGTAAAATACAACTATATAATTTGTTTTCCAAGAAACTAACGCAATAATATGAAATAAGTCATAGCATTATACTAAAATATTAAATAACAAAGATAAAATAATAAAATTACATAACAAATATTGCTAATTAATAAGCCATAATAAAAATTAACATAATCTAAAAATACTATATATGTCATGCTAAAATAAGTATACCTAATAAGTAATAATATTAATTACATAACTAAGCACTAAAGAAAAAGATATAAACCAATGTAAAACTAAAATAATTATCCAACACTATCGTCATTCAAGGTATTGAATTAAATTTCTTTAGTTAGCGTTAGTATTGATTTGAACTTTGTTTGAGTTACTACATTTAATTTATTTATCATTCAAGAATGTTAAGTCTAAACTTGAAATAATACATTAAAAGATAAAACTGTAAAAAGGTTTAAGAAATATTTATAAATTACATTATAATAAATATTTATATGTATAAAATATTTTTAAAAATTATATAAATGTACTATCGGGTTGGTTTGGTTTCGGTTTAAATTTTTTTAGTTTAAACCAAACAAAACTAATTATGGCCGGGTTTTATTTTCCAATACCAAACCACATCGGGATTTTTTTCGGTTTGACTCGGATTATCGGTTTGGTGCTGTTTATCGGTTTTCTTTGTACACCCCTATATGAAAGCATGGGTAACGACCATCCAAACAGCCCATAAGTTGAGTGTTTTGTGTCGTTTGAAAATTTAGTTCACTGTACTAGGGTAAAATTACCCGCACCGATATTTACATCAAATCATACGAATGGGTATGGGTAATCTTGTCCTGAAAAATCAAAAGCATTTAATTTTGGAAATAGCTACTTTTTTTCAGCCTAAACTTAAATGCTGAAAAACAACTTTTACTACTACTCAGAAGTACTTATTTCTTCGCAAGAAGTTTGGCCAAACAACTTCATTCTCTAAATTCTAAATGTTATTTTTTTTTGGTTTGAAATCAGAAGCTTTGGCTAAACAGGCTTATTAACCCATTGAATTTCCACAAGAAAGAACAACACATCACATCTATTGGGTTGCCCCACACAAACAAAGGACGATTACAAGGATCAAATTTAGACTTATTATCGCAACTCAAAACATAGACAACTAGTAGAGTTCTAAGTTCTATTTTTCCTGGGACAAACAGCCAAGCATGACCACCAGCACCCAGTTGAGGTAAAGAAACACATGAACTTCTATCATGAAAATTTACAACAATAATTCATAAAAACCCAATCAAAAGTACATCCAACATGGTATGAGAGTCAGCTCACATATATTGGTGGAAGGTTCAAACCCCTCAATTTAACAAGCAAATCGTTGTACTTTGTATATCGTATATCGTTGTAATTTGTATGCATACAGGATTGTGAATCAGTAAAGAGAATTATAGGTACGACATGTTGCAAAAATGCATACTATGCATATCAAAAGTGAAGGGAGAAGAGTAACATTCAAGAGCTTGCTCTGCCCTAAATATCCACCAAGTGTTATAGTTACATCAGCAATCACCCGAGCAATTGTGCCAGCTTCTGTGGATAAGAGACCTCCATTGTAGGTTCCCCGGGAAAGCCTTGATGACATTACTCGAGAGAGAAGAGATAAATTTACACCTGGAAGTCATCATCCAAATCATAAAACTTTAGAATGCAAAATGGCGTAAAACCAATAAAATTTCACCGTTACGCCTTCCCTAATTTTGTTAAATGTCAACGGAGTTAGCAATTCTTTTGATAACCGAGAAATCCCCGAGGAGCAGTGATGCATATTTTGAAACTCAGTGGATAATTGGTCCGCCCCTCTACTCTTTCTCCGCTTAAATGGCAGGCTTTTGTCTATACTAGGGTAAGCGTTGGTAAATACTGTTTTAGCACAAACTAACAACTTCCTTAGGTTGTGATGGAATGTATGCTAATCTTGTGACTCATTTGGTAGAAAGAACTGTATAATTGTGCTTTAACTCAATTATGCACTGCACTAGTTAAAAGGCAAAAACTACAAATCAAAAGTATTAACAGAACATAGTATGTTTACGGCATTGCTCCAATCGGGATTAGCTAGAGACTAGGATGCAGCATATCTATCTTCCTACCACCAAAGAAGTGTTATAAATAGCTATGATATTGTCCACTGCAGTAATAATACACCCCAAAAAAGCAGAGGACAAGTCCAAGCTTAATAGTAACAATACATTATGTTCTCTTCCACCAGGTTTTCTCTTGAGCATAGGAACTAAATTATTCTTTGTTATCATCACGATAGGTTCTACTGAGAATTAAGAACCAAGTACGTTTCTCAGGGAGGAAAATAAAGGGAAAGTAGAGATCACACCTTCTAATACTTCAGCAGATACAAACAATAGGAGGCCTGAGCAGACATACTGTGGTACCGAATACGGGATTACAACATTAAAGCTCAGGAGTATACCGAGACAAACCATGATTTCAGATGCCAGCAAAAGTTGCCTGCAGAGAGGACAAACGTATCATCATATTCTCATGGCAAACATTCGACATGATAGAGCATAAATTCCAATGACGAACATTCAACATGATAGAGCATCGTGAATTTTCACAGGCTTGACTTGCTTTCTGTAGTAAGATTGTTCCACTTTAATATAGTTTAATGCACTAATCGTGAAGAAATCGTCAGAGTTTTCGAAACTAGGAATAACACGATGAGACTTCTTAAAATTCTATAATAAATTAATGCAACATAACTGCTAAACCGTTTTGTTTTTCATTTTCTAGGCAAAGCATGAGTAATATCCAATATGTGCAGAAGCATTTGATCAATCAGTCAATCATCTATGCCTTATTTCCAAACTAGTTCAGAACGGCTATAAAAATACACGCATAAGCATTCTAGCAAGAAACTTGATGTTGTTTGCAAACATGAAGGCTCAAAAAAACTAAAAATGCTACAGTTAAGTAATCCTTCTAATAAATTAAATACTATCCGCTAACAACATTCCATTGCAAGCAAAGCACATCTACTACATTTTCAGAATAGTCTCCATCAGTTACACATTGGCAAATCTGTATATAGCCAAATAGTCATGTTTATAGCATCCAGAAAATAAGCTTCAAAAATATGTTCTTGTTTCAAGATAGATTACCTGTCCTGAAAGATGTTACTTATGTAGCTCCCAACAACAACATTTACTGGAAGAACTGTGAGGCCCAAACATGCAAGAAATATTGCGACAGTGCTCGTTGACCAGCTAAAGTAATATGCCGTGATGACACTAGATGCTGAAAGTAAAATCTCCATAGCATATTTCAGCATAAAATAGATTAATAATTGAACCTGCATCAAGGAGTAACATGAATGGTCATTGGTTAGTATAATTGTTAATAGCGCAACCAAACGACAGATAACATAATGTGATGTTGGGCAGCAAGTAAAAAGCGGTCCATCCTTTTTGTTTGTTTTTCCCTTTTCTTGGTGGTTCTAAGGGGATGTTGGCATTGCTCAACTGGATTTTCAAACCAATGCACTTGATTTCTATCTCACTTCTGCAGTTCTCAAGCAACACAGTTATCTGTTAATTACTAACTTGTATCCTATATAGCCCCTCCAAAATAACAAGTTTAAAACTAGAATGGAGATTCTGTTATCAGTATGTGTTTCTCCACTTAACGCGATGAATAGCAATAAAGGATGTGACTCTTTAAAAGTTGATAGATAAAGAGGAAATATAAAAATAGATAAAAGTTTTACAAGGAACTATGTCAGAAGTGGTAGAAAAAGTTTTCTCATTTGATTAGTATCTGTAGACTACCAATGCCCCAAAAGGAGCTTGTTAAGGCTTTAGTTGGAGCTTCAAGTCAATCATTAGCATGATTTGTTGATTTCAACCAAGAAAATCTTATGCATCTAAATTATGCACCGTATTCAATGTGACACGTGCATGGCACCATGATTATCCTATAGGGTGCCATTATAGGCTGTATCCACCTAAGTTGCTCCGACATGGCAATTTAGGTGCCGCACCCGTGTCGACACGACACTATTATGAGTGTGGGTATGGGATCCGTGCCGGATCTGGTCAAACAATCTTGGGTACTTTGACCACGATGGACAGAA